TTAGATCCACATTGTCTCAGTTGACCCCGCTGTGAAATGGGTACCCGTGAGGATGTGCTGGCAATGTGAGTGTTAAGTTCATTGCGCCTAATAGGTAGAATGGCTGTATGATCCCAAGGGAGTTGGCAAGGTATCGGAAAGTGCGATAGTGTCCTATGACCGGGGATAGTAATGTACGTAGCGCCGTGAGCAGGCAACGTGCCTGGATATGAGCGCCATATATGCGGACTATTACTATTACTATTATACTATTACATTGTTCCTAGGGGGACAAAGGTCTCGTCGTCCAAGGTGCCGGATTTGCTGCGTACAATTGCGTCCCTTGACAAACCTATGATCATAGTTCGAATCTCCTTTCGCCCCGATTCTGTTTAAATGTTTGCCTGCCCCCTATAATTACCCTCGTGTGTCGCACCCAACTGCTAAACGTCCCAGACCGCCGTGATATAACCGGAATACTGATCAAAGCGGCGTTAACAACATAACTCACTAACTGACTCACGCAGAGTGAGTGATTGAGTTTAGCTTTACGCTGCTTTTAGCAATATTCCAGCAATATCACGGCGGGGGACACCAGCAATGGGCTTCGCACATTATACCCATGTGGGGAATTGAACCCGGGTCTTCGGCGTGACGGGCGAACGCTTTAACCACTAGGCTACCTCACCGCCCCTGACTCGCTCAGAGGTTAGCGTAAACAAACCCCTGGGGTATTGACGATGGTCAAAACAAAGTGTTTTCTCGGTCATGTGAACTGTTAGTGACTGGGTTTGGCAAAATATCCAGTCCTTGACAAAACACCTAGCCCAAGGGTTTTCAGGAATAAGAAAGTTAGGGTACTTTATGGACCACAACCTCTACACATATTTTCTTATGTTCAGTGTTCATTGATTCTGTCGTTCATGGACCGGGGAGTTTTACCTATATATAGGTCTCACCACAGTCACAGCTGATGTTGTAGAGTTTTGGTTGTTCGAAAGGTGCTCAGCGGTGTAAAGCTGTGGATTTCAACACTTCAGAATCAAAGAACACTCAACAAATTAGACCTAAAATCTGTATTCTCAGACCACATCATCTCCTGTCTTAACTAGAACACCAAGTGGGACAGAGTAGAAATATTATTTTAAAAAACCTCCAGGTCTTCATGAAAGGAAAACTGGCAGAAGCCGTTCAAATCCGCAGACATAGGCCGTCAGTCAACAGAGACCAAGTATATTGCGTCCTATCCATCTAACCGCCTCCGTGGTGTAGTGGTTAGAGCGTCCGCCCGGAGAGCGGAAGGTCGCGGGTTCGATCCCCGACCGCGTCTTACCAAAAGACGTTAAAATATGGTACTTGTTGGTTCCTGCCTTGCGCTCGGCATTAATGGGTACAACACGGACTGGTCGGCTCGGAGTCAGTATAATGTGTCTGAGTGGGGTATTCATGCTTCACTGCGGTGTGGTATCTCAGTGGGCTAGCACTATAAAACCAGCTTAAAGGTCACATGCAACGTAAAACACAACTTTGCAGATTCTGATACCTTTCGGTATGGACTTACCGAAACAAAGCGTCAAAAATGCAAATTCAACTTATAAAGTTGAAAAATAACGCGATGAAAAAAAACGCGCGAAATCGGAGTTCAAACGTTTCACTAATTTTCCCCAGACTTTTCTGGGGAATACGGGTTTCAACAGCTGGGCTGCGCTCATAGCATGTGCGCAGTGAAATAGGTACGCGCAACTTGGAAGCGGGCTGTCTGGTGAATACTCGGTGAAGGCTTTGGTGTGAGCTATTTTCATAATGTTTTGTTGATATCTCACAGGCGCGAGCTTTTTATATGTTATGACAGTAAATAAACTGTTTATATAATTTCATTTATCTATTTCACCACACGTTCTTCTTACCGAGTCACTTTCTCAGTTCGATACTTAAAAGCAATGTCATTATTTAGCGTTGACACAAGTTCTAACTGTGATATAGATATGTCGCTGTCACAGACAAAACTCAATGTCTTGTTTTATTGACACCTGTGTGTCTGCCTGCCTGTCTGCTAATGACAATATTCAATACACAACTGCGATCACTGACCACATGCAATTTGGGCTAGTAGAAGCAGCCGCACATACACATACACACGCATGCACGTCGTCATATGAGCGAAATATTCTCAAGCACGCCGTTAAACCCCATACTACCTCACCTCACCTATCCATGTACAACACACTGATGAAATAACAGGGCACTCCAACTGTCACTGATAATCAGTCTGATTAGCTAGGTATAGTTTGTCCCGCCTTATAAACAGTTGGCTCCCTTCAGGTGTTACAGCACTTGTAATTGTAACATATCTTATATATTTTCATTATTACACTATCTCACAGTACAGATTCTAGCATTTTGTTGGGTTGAGTTCCATCCGAGATTCGAACACACCCTCAAAGTCAGTCACCTAATCACCAACACACTAAAACAGCCATCTTAGCCATCGCGCGCAGTTTCAACGAAAATGGAAGTCGGACAACTGGTAGTCTAGACTATGGACTTTGTGTACCCGGCTGATAAGTGAAAATTGGCATGTTCCCAAGGCCGAAAGCTATGAATACACAATACCATTTAGAAAGTGGTCAAATGTAACACGTTATAAACTAGTGCTCAAAAGAAACTATACACCGCAAAATATTACATACAAATTCACAAAACTATAAATGAAGTGACAAAACCATACTGAGCCATGTCACACACGTACAGACTTATCCTTTCCGGGAACAAACGACGAAACAAGTTAACGAATCGCACACGGAAATGCACGTGCATACTGATAGAACAGCCCACACGACACGTGAGCAACACAGTCTTAAAAAGAACACCAAAACTATGCCACGTTTGAGGCAAATCGAAAGAAAGAGAGAGCTGACGGAATGGCTACGTGTGACCCCTCTGGTGATGATCGCCACATCCGGACAATTCATCCGAGAAATCTTTTTGTAACGGCGACTTCAACAGCAGCGACGGCACTAAAGTACTGTCGGAAATAGAAAAAAACTGTTTATTCACATTTATATCCACAATTTATGTAGGTAATATGTGAAAGTGTGAAATATCTGTTAAACCAAGTTCGGCCTAACTACAGTCTCAGTGGTAGGGAGAGACATCTCAACATCAACTTTATGAAAGAAAGACACGTTAGATGTTAATCAACATGTGAGACATATTCAACACACAAGAAAACGCATATAATATCTTTGAGATGACCCCTTGTGGCTGTAGGCAGCACGTGAATTCCGTGCTAGGTGTGTCGACGTTCCGTTATTATACCTGTCTGAGTCACCTAATTGTCATCTATAGTCTGATCTATTGTTTTTACAGTTATTCGTATTTTTTCTAAGATTTGCCCGATTTTACGAGTAAACATGCTTTTCTGGATATCCTATTACGCATCCCACTGAACGCCCAGTTAGGCCGATGTGGGTTATTTCGACATATGCTATTTGCAATTGTGTAAATTTTAGGGATACAGAGTGACAGCCCAAAAACAGTTTTTTTTCTATTTCCGACATTACTTTAGGACGCCGTATCAGTCGACATACAGTGTACCAGCAACTATAAGAGAACATGGTATTCGAGCACGTCGACCCTACCGCGGAGTGTATCTGACTCTTCAAAACCGACGTCGTCGATTGACATGGGCCAGGCCAATTCGACATTGGCAGATGCATGATTGGCGACGTGTGATTTTCACCGATGAGAGTATATGCTTATTTTTCAATTGTTTGGTGAAACACGATGTATACTTTCTTTTGAGCACTAGTTTATTTGGTAATCCCAAATATAACGTGTCATATTTTCATATTTGATCACTATCTAAATGACATTGTGTATTCATCAGTTATTGTTGTCAATCCATTTCATCACCTTGTTTTCATTAATCCCGACCCGGAATGTCTAACGGGATCAGATGATCAGGCTCGCTGGCTTGGTTGACACGTGTCATCGGATCCCAAATGCGTAGATTGATGCTTATACTGTTAATCACTGGATTGTCTGGTCCACATAGGCGGATCCAGAAATTTTCAAGGGTGTGTGTGTGTGTGTGTGTGTTTCAGGGGGTTCGAACCCCACCTTGGCTCTGCCTTTGCAAAATATTAACTTCTATGTGGTTTTTAGTCGTGTTTCAAGGGGTGGGGGTGGGGTGGGGTTTCGAACCCCTGAACCCCTCCTCTGGATCCGCCACTGGTCCAGACTCGATTATTTACAGACGCCGCCATATCGGTGGAACAATGCTGAGTGCGGCGTTAAACAAACCAACCAATTTTATTAATCCTTGTTAGATGTTTTGAAGGCTTCTCTTTGGTCCTTCAACGCATCATGTCGGAAAGCGCACGTAAAATCCCCAAATCATCATCTTCTTCATCTGCAGAACTTCACTCTTGCTTGACAACAGTATATAAATCTTCCGAAGAATCACATCATAATGTAATAAAGAAGATGTCATCAATAAAGTACCCTACCTTTCTTATAACACATCAACTTCTAAAACACCAATAAAACAGCTTTTCGGGAAGCTGGTTTTCCAATATTTGAATGAAAGCGTACATTACATTACATTACATTGTACAGATACAGATAGAACACTTTGTGTAAAACTAACTCGTTTCTCGCTCAAAGATCCTTATTGAGACAGCAACTATGTCCCGTTTCATTCAGTTTGCTATGACTGCATTTCATCAGGCCTAAAACACGCTTAAAACGATAATGTATGGTTATCAGCTACAAATAGTTCCTATTATCGTACACCCATGCCTGCAGCTTTTACACTGGTCATGCGTCATGTAAAAATGGTGATAAGACAGTCAGTCTGGCCAAATTTCAAGTATTTTTTTTTTATAAATGAGCCTCAAGCAAGCGATGGTGTAAGGGAGGTAACTCTGACCTACGTTCCGGCGCTGATTGTGGTGCAACATTTCTAAACATACGTCTGACGCTTGCAAACTGACTACTTTTCAATACATAGAAACGCAGGGCCAACATTTCAGTCAGTTGTGCAATATCGGCGCGTAGATCACATAAAAGCACCCTGCGCATGTAAACATTTCAGAACGAATCTCTGGACACCTATCTAGAACCGTTCGTTTGGAATTCGTCATGAAGTAAGTACATTGTATATGTTTATATATTTTTGTTTTATAAATTTTGCCTACATTATTCTCTGTATTTGCAGGTGACGACAGATATATACAAAATTTGTTTAATTTATTTTCAAAGGTTTGAATAGATATTTCCCCCAAAATATTTAAAACTGTTTAACTATATCGCAATATTAATGCAATGTCCAGCTTCACACGGTATGTACAATGTATATCTATATTCAGGTAAGTACAGTTTATGGTTGGTGTGGAAGCTGGACACAAACAAACAGAGGTAGTTTGTTCCACAGATCGCATCTGCACGGTACTTTGCGTTTTCCGACCAATGTCCGTCCCTTGGAACTGTTTACCTCGAGATTTTACAAATACAAGATGGATATTTCATTTTGGAAAATAGATTCCACTTGCATTTTCATTTGTTTGAAGATTATTTTTGTGTGAATATGGTAAACAGGTTATTCTTTACGCATTACTTAAATATAACGAAAACGCGCCTCTGAAACAAGAAAGACAAAATGCTGTTATAATGTTTTTGAAATTTACTAATCAATGCAGCAATAAATTGTACCTCGCACATAACTTTAAAATAAAACATTCAACACAGATGAAGAGGATTTTTCTTACATTCGAAGAGGTTGGGGGAGGGTTGGGGTAGCCTAGTGGTTAAAGCGTTGGATCGTCACGCCAAAGACCCGGGTTCGATTCCACACGTGAATACAATGTGGGAAGCCCTTTTCTGGTGTCGCTCCGCCGTGATATGGCTGGAATATTGCAAACAGCGGCGTAAAACCATACTCACTCACTCACGAAGAAGTTGGGTAACCTATTGGATAGCGTTCATTCGTCGAAGGTCAAGTTCGATATTCGACATGGGTAGAATGTGAAGCCTATTTCTGGTGTCCCTCGCCTTTATACTGTTGATCATGTGCGAAAGGTCACATAAAATCATACACGTTAGCAGAGACATGGGGTAACCACTGCGAATGCAGAGCCCATTTCGGGTGTCCCCTCCCTGGCATATTGCTAGAAACTTGCTAAAAGCAGAGTGAAATCATACTCACTTGCTGTTTACATTCATCACTCCGTCTGTCATGATAGGCGGTCCACGTACGATAATCCATGCAAATTATAGTGTAGCACAGTGGTGCTTGTGCAGTGTATTATAAGTCCGGTTTGGATCTGTGCCCACAAACCCATGTTTGTCATACCACACATTTACGTAGACCGGTCTGCATGGCTCCATGACTTGGCTCGATGGTTGCTTGGCAACGTACCCCAGCGTAGGTCATAATATCAACCGTTGGTTTAACCAAGGGTCTTCAGTAATTTTACGCCCCTCTTTGAGTTAAATTGTACACGTATTGACTATTGTATCAATCTACATTCTGCGTGAGACCCGTGACGATCCGGGGTAGAATAGGTCTTCAGCAACCCATGCTTGCCACAAAAGGCGACTATGCTTGTCGTAAGAGGCGACTAACGGGATCGGGTGGTCAGGCTCGCTGACTTGGTTGAGACATGTCATCGGTTCCCAATTGCGCAGGTCGATGCTCATGCTGTTGATCACTGGATTGTCTGGTCCAGACTCGATTATTTACAGACCGCCGCCATATAGGTGGAATATTGCTGAGTGCGGCGTAAAACTAAACTCACTCACTCACTCATTCTGCGTGACGAACCACACGAATGTGTAGCTTTGCGCACACATGCGCTTGAAATAAGCACACGTATGGGATTTTAGATATCACTAATAGCAAGAATTGAAGATATCTATAATTGAATTGAAGATATCTTTAATTGAATTGAACGTGTCTGTAATATATTTGTATAATACATTGTGTATGAATTATTTTAAGATATTAATTTCTAATATAATTATGAACACTGTGGTCGTAATTGTGTTATTGATATCTAAAACACATTAAGAGATATCACGAAATATGTTCTTGATATCTCTAGAACATTTTGAGATATCAGTAATTTTATTTTGGAAATGAGAAATTAATTAAAGATATCTTCAATTATTTACTGCACAGATATCTTTAAAACATCATTGATACCCCTAAGTAGAGTACAGATATCTTTAAAACATTATAGTACAGATATCTCTAAAACGGCTGAATATGTCTTTAATTTCTTAATAAATGTTAAAACGGCTTGCCATACAAACGCACACGAAACGTATTTGTGTATATCTATGAATTACTGTATATACGACAAGGCCGCAATGCTATACGCATCTCGATCACACGGATGCAATACAATTCGAATCCCGATACAGTATTAACAAATTTTGATTTGTTCATATCTACATCAGTAAAGAATACGAAGGCATCCTTATCTTTATTCTGCTTTATTTATTCTGTTTGGGAGTGGCTATGGGATATCTGCACTGATAAAGAAGAGAACAACTGATCTGTTTTCTTGGGTATTCAGGAATTAAAAATATATAAATCATTTGTTGTCAAAATCGCAGAGTTTGAATCCATAACAGATTGCACTGCAAGCAATAGCGGCACGGCACAACGAAGAAAAGCAGCAGAGAACATCAGAACAGATTGAATTAGATGTTACTGTGACAAAGTTAGACATCTCGGTAATAGAAAGGTTTCCTTACTCTTTACTGTGATCGTGTATACATAAATGCAATGTAAAGAAAGAAGAATGTGAATACGTAGCGCTTAGTCTTGTTGTGAATGTCCCCTGTCCTCCACCTTCAACCTTCACCCTAGCACTGACACAGTAGGAATGGTATTAAATGAGCAGTGGATAGGTCGATGGAGCAGTTCGATGAGGCGGAAAACATTTGTTTTTCATTTATGGGTCGGCGGCCAAATTACGATGAGAAACACAACAATGACAAATGTTGTCTTATCTCCCTTTCTGTAGTTCATATCATCTACCTGTCTCCGGTAATTAAAATCCAGAACGATTTGTTTCTCGACATCGGAGATTGGATATTGTAAGAGAGAAACGTATAAGATTGTGACACTGCACAGATTCTGCTATACTAATATATAGCCAACCAGGAAGTACTAGAGGATCTGCATCAACTGGGTTCTGTCTCGTGTTGCACATGAGTATAACTTGAACTTTGTGCTTATTGTAATGTTGGGGCGGTGGGGTAGCCTAGTGGTTGAAGCGTTCGCTCGTCACGCCGAAGACCCGGGTTTGATTCCTCACATGGGTACACTGTGTGAAGCCCATTTCTGGTGTCCCCTGTCATGATGTTGGTGAAATATTGCTAAAACGTCGTAAAACTAAACTCATTCCCTCACTTATTGTAATTTGTAACTTATTGTAACATTTTCCTTCCATTGTTGCTACGGGTCTCTCTCAGTTCTTCTCAATTCTAAAATACATGTAGACGAAATTGTTAACACTGCAAGTAAAATCGCTGGAGTTAAATTTGAATGTTTATCATTAATATATGAGCGGCAAATCGACAATCAAGCTGTCAAAATTATATCTGACAAAATTTGACTCTGGACAGCATCCTCTATTCCAAGTACCAATCTCTTTTAAACAAATGTGAAGATACTTAAATTCATGAATTTATGTAAATATGTTATGTATTTGTATCTCTCTGATGTGTCAGTAGCTCTGCTGATGTAACACAAATTTCTGAAAAGACAATGAAGTTTTATTGCTCTGTTCTGCTCAAGCTCTATAGTCTTTTAGTGGTGGCGGAAAAAGCCGAGTGGGTCCGAGTTGTTTGGAAATAATAAAAGGGAGACCACTTTGACGATATGTGGTGCAATTGTCCGACCCCTCTACCGCGGAATTGGATTAGTTTGTTATGCGCATGCGCATTTCATCCCTTTTACTTGAACGGCCATCCCAACACGTGAGTTTACACTTAGTTGTTTTAAATATATCTAAATAATTGAATAATTGACGACGAGAGACTGTTATTTCACGAAAAGAGACACAGTTCTTTACTCCTGTAACTGCGCTTCAGATCACTGTATTATCTTGACGCAGTTGATTTGGAATGAAAATACTACGTGGGCCATACGCTAGATATGTTCACACATGGTGTGAACCATTACTGGCTCTGACTACGCCGGACCATAATTTGTAAATAATAATGAACTATCAGTAGATGTTAAAGGTTCCTGTATTTGTATTAATGAAGTTAAATCACGTTGACTCCTCATAGTGCCCCGTGATGTGAGGAAGTAGTTTTCAAATTACTTCTTCCATGCAGTGACCTTTCCTGCACTCGGTGAATTCTTGCGAATTTGTGAGGACACTATGAATTTTTGACAGAAGACAGATATAGCCATAACTAGATCTACATTCTTTAAATTAAATTCCGTCGTTTCCTTTCAAAAACAAGTGGCCGAGATCGTTATTTCAATGTATACATATCGTATGAAACATCACGTTGAATCACCATCTCGAATATTCTAATCTTGTGTAGCTGTCATGTATAAATGTTTACAGTGATTATGGTAACGGTTTGCTCGTCAAATACACTCTTAAAATCTATTACTTGCCCTTGTACATGATTTCGTCCTTAAGAAATGAAACTGCAATCATTCCATCAGTAGATAGACAGTAGTTCTGTTGAGAAACCTGTGGATTTAGTCACTTTCATAATATTAGGTATATCCACTCATTTTTTTAATCTTTTATTTTTTTCAAAAAAAAATCAGGATATATTCTCCAATGTCTCTATAATGCAAATATGAAAATCTTTTCATCATGGAGGTTACCATCATTGTGAAACTGAACCTCAAAGACATCTACTGTAGGCTCGAAAAAATGGCCCACTTTTTCGTTGACCAGTTTTTGGTCCACCATTGTTAAAAAATGACAGGGACAAAATAAGCATATGTCCATGCTTTATATACTTACCAATATGATGGGACTACATAAACATTAAGAAATATTACCAGAAAATGAGTGAGAAATAAAAAATATGTACAGCAACTTGATGTCTTCAGTAGGCTGATTTGCGAATGTCACTGAAATAGGGACAATTATTTATTTTTTCA